TGGCGTTCAGGCGGAGGATATTAAGGGAGTAGAAAGTGGGGAAGGAAGGTGGGATTTTGGGGTTTCCCTTGATACTATTGCGTCTATACTTCGGCCTCCCCATCTTTAGGGGCTTGAACCGGCTGTTCGGGGGTTTCTCTCCTGAGGTTTAGTCCTTCGGGTTTAGACCCTTGGAGGTACGGTTTCGAGCACACGGGTTAGCGTTCAGGGTCTAGGATTTAGACTCAAGTTTTCAATTTCAAGGGATCTGCCTCACGGTCAGGTGTTTAGTTTTTCGTTTCAGGGTTCAGGGTTTACGGGGTTAGGTTTAGCACTTGGGGCTCAGCTTCTACTTTTTATGTTGAGAGTTCCTGGTCCCGGAATTATTGCCTTCGGTTTAGGATTGTCGGTTTACGGTTCCGGTGCTCAGGTTTCAAGATTTAGCGTTTGGCGTGTACACTTCATGTTTAGGGTTGACGCTCTATCGTTTACGCCTACTGATTATGTTTTACCCTGAGCCTTCCACGATTTAGTCTTCAAGGCTTAGGTTGATGGTTCAGGGGGTTTACAGTTTAGGGTTCAGGGGTCAGCGTGTATGGGTCCTGTGTTAGCGTTCACCGTTTAGGTTCGGGTGCTGAGACTCCAGGTTTTAGGATTTCTGCTTTAGGCTTCACGGTTTACGATTGAGTGCGTACCTTCTTGTTTCCAGGGTTTAGATTCACTGTTCAGGGTTCTTCTTGTAGTTTATCAAGATGTACGATTTATGTTTTAGGGTTTAGTGTTCAGTTTTCACCTGTTACTGCGAGTTTTAAGGTGTATGGTCTCACGTCCCCGCTCCTGGTGTTTGTCTTTATTTTTTGCTTTCAGGGGGTCATCTTCTAGTTTTAGGTCTCATTATTCAGGGTTCACGGTCCATGGATTAGACTCCAAGGTTTCGGGTTTTGGGTTGAAGAATTAGATTTTTGGATTATCTTTCATGCCTCAGCTTTCAGGCTCCAGGGTATAGTGTTGAGTGTCCAGGTGTTAGGTTTTAGGCCTCATGGTTTAGTGTTTAGGCTTCAGCGTCTAAGGTCTAGGGTGTTGGCTTTAGGGTTTAGATAGCAACATTTAACGTTTTGTCTTTGTGGGGAAGAATTTTGGTGAGGAATCTATATTCTAGGGGCGTATGACTCAGGGGATAATGTATAGCTTCGTCGTTTCGGTATTTGATCGTCACATTCTTGCCGTGATGTTGATGCCCCTTGCTCCAGTGCAGGTCCCGATTGGCCTCTCTTCTTTAGGCCTTGTTTTGAGTCGTCCTTCTGCTGGTTTCGTCAGGTTGCTTCGGGGCTAAAGCTTTCTTTTCCCCCTATTGACTGATTTGGAAGCCTGGACACAATGCTTAATGCTTCACATTTTTGGTATTTTGGGTGGGGAGTCTTAGGATGCGCCTTAGGGGATTATGGGACGGGATTTAGATTTTAGGACTTAGATGATATATCTGCTCTCCTGCCTCGATCCCCTTAAATTTAAGGTATAGTTGGTTCTGCTTATTCTTTTCTGATAGCTGTTTTGCAATTGTATTAGGCTACTGCGCTTAAGGGTCAGGAGGTCCTTTTAGGGTTTACGCTGCAGGGCTTGCGCTTAGCAGCCAGGCTGTTATTTTCTATTCTGGGATGTGCAGATTTTATAGTCCTTCGATGCAGGCTGTAGTGTCCAGGCGGTTCCTTCTGTTATCTAATATTCAGCTTCTACCCTTCAGGGTGTGGGCGGCAGGGGTCATTATGTACTCTTCAGGTTTTACTACTACAGAGGCCAGTGGTTAGTTGCTTATACTTGCACATAGTTATACTATAAGAGTGTTTCAACTTACTCGTAATACGGGGACCATGTCAGGAGGTTATGCCCTTGGATTTTTCGTTTAGTCTTCTCCTTTTAAAGCCAGCGTTGGGGGTTCATACTTGGAGGGGTAGGTAGTGCATCTCATTATTCATCTTTCTGTAGCTTGGCTTCTACGGACGACATGTTGATGGCTGATTCCCTTGTGTTATTTTGATTACTGATGTGTTTTCCCTCTTGTCTTTCGTTGGTTTAATTTTGGTGGCCTCCTTCCCTAGGCGTAGATTTAATATGGTATGGCTTAATATCGAGGAATCTTTTTGGTGGATTGAGATTTCGTTCTCAAGCATGGAAGTTTAGTGGTTAGCCCTGGGGTTCCCTGGGGTTAAGGAGGCACCCGTATCTTATAGGTTTGGGGACTTAGTTTTACGGGGGTCTGTTCTTTGTAGTTCCTATGGTTCTCGTTTATAGCTTCTGACTTTAGGCTTAGGCTTCATGGGGTATCCCTAGCTGTAGGCCCCGGACTCTGCTTTTACTTTTGATTTTTCCTGCATTAATCTGTACTCTTTATTGTTAGGAGTCGACGATTCCTCTTCCCCTTCTTTAGCTGTTAGGCGCAACGTATAATTTCTCTTCTTTGGCTGCCCATGCTTTTCGGTGTAACGCTTATTATTCTGAGACTCGTTGTTCCTATTACGACTCAATCTCCTAATGGCTCGCCTCCAGGTTCGACGCTCGATTTGCACATTTATTTCTCATGCTTAGGGGGCAAGACTATGGCGTTATCTTGAGATTTTATTCTTTGGGTGTTGTTTGGTCATTCTTCCGAGTCTATATTTCTTCCGTTATTGCCCAAGCTGTTATTGTTAACTTCTTCGCTTTCATTCCTTATGGTATACCGCTTAGCCCAGGATGATTAAATTTCCAATTTTGAATTTATTCTTTGGAGTCTGAGCCCTGCTTCTCTTAGGTGAATTCCTGTGCTTTAACTTGTATGGGGCGTCATGTATGGCTTAGGCCTCAGTGATCTTGAAGTAAGTTCCATGCTGCCTGCACTCTTCGGCACATGCAATGCTTAGGCTTAGGGACTGGAAATGTATATCGCAGAGGTAGGTTCTCAGTATCTGCCCATTTCCCCTATTATATGGACTCTATCTCTTACTGACTAAGCTGTGCTGTTGACTTCCTGTTTGAGGCTTTAGGTTTCTCCCATTATCGCTTATGCCTGTTGTCCCTTTGTTACGCCCTTCTCCGGCCTCCGTTCCTGTAATTCTGAGCGCTGCAACTTTAGGAAATTGTATTAAAGAGTACATTTCTCTTTATATATTTTACCAGTACTCCTTGGTTGTTACGCTTCAATTTTACGCAGTTAGGTTGCAGGGTTTAAGCATCTATCTCATTTGGGAGTTACTCAGGCATTGGGCTGTTGCTTTATGGAGGTTTGGGGTTGTCTCTACCTTTATTGTTCACTCCGTATTCTTTAATATTTAGCATTAATGCTTTATTTCCTATCCCCCCCGTCTGAGTCTTGAGCGTATTTGTCAGGCTCTATTCTCTATGTTTACGCCTCCAGGTTCCTGTGTATGGCCGGGGGGTTCTCTTTACCCCTTAGCGTCTATTAGTACTGCTGGATAAGTTATCTTAGGCGGGTAAGATTTATTGATTATACGCCCCCTGTATTGTTATCACCCTTACGTGTCTAGGATTTACGGTTTAGTGTCTGGGTTATATGTTTTGGGCCCTACGATCTATATTCCATGGCTCAGCCTCCACGGTCTATGAGTGAGGCCTAAGGCTTAGGGTGTATTGGCACCCTCTAGTCTTTATTCCTACGGTTAACTCTTTACATATGCCTCCTTATCTCTGCTATTTGCTCTTATTTCTTATCTGCTTAGCTATAGGATCTTCTTCCCTATCTTGACGGTGTACGGTTCAGATTCCATGGTTGCGGATTCAGTTCTACTGTGTACGACTGATCGGATACCCTTAGGGTCTATTTGTGTTTGATGAAGTGTTGGGTCTTTCTCGCACGCCCTAGGTTCACGGTGTATATCGTCTGTGTACTGTGCACTGCTCAAGTCTATGTGCTATGGTTCATGCTTCAAGGTGTGTTGGTGTATTTGGTCCTATTATTCTTCAGGGTATCTCCCCGAATGTTTCTGCGTTAGGCATCATGTTTAGTTTCTACAGGTATGAATTTGGGGCGCCATCTTGTATTGCTTTTTCTTTACTTCTTATGGTTTCGATATTTGCTCTATTAACTGATTTTCAACTTTGAGTGTCTGTGTTGTATGATTTATTGTGCAAGCTTCATGGTTAAGGCCCTATCCTTCCTGTTTCCGGTTTTGTGATCACCCTCTAAAGTCTATTCCTTACAGTTAACCATTCAATGTTGTTCGCTCCGGATTTACAGTTTGGAGTTTAAGCAGCCCCTCACAAGCACCATTGCCCACTCTGCGTTTCCAGGTGTTGTTCGTTCCCCCTCGATTTACTTTATTAATTCCTCCTTCGTGTGTTAACCGTGCGCCTCTTGGTTGTTTTTAAGGCGCCTTCTCTTAGTTTCTCTCTAAGGTCTTCCTTTAGGTGTCTTGGAAGATAGAAGAAGAGATATATTGGTAGATTCTTTATTATTCTCCCCATATTCAACATATTTTAACCGTGTTAATATAAAGATACGGAACAGTCAATGTTCAAACTCCGTCGGTTTCCTTTATTGAGATATATACAGAGGGACAAGAGTCTTACTGATATAGTGCTATTTCCTTCGCTGTCTTATTCTCATCCCTTTCCCATAGGATATATTCGTAAAATCGGGGAGTTATACATGCAGCGATGTCGCAGCGAATTATAGAGCACATATTCATCTATATTAATGTTAATCTATACTGTTGTAAGATCTGTTGCACATGAGTTGTCTCTCATATTCAAATGTGTATCCTCCTGTCGCTTAATTCTCCAGTAATGAGTGTATAAACCACCTAACGGAAACTAAGCAAAGTCAGGTAGTTAGATTAATCACTTTACCAATGTCACCCTAATCTATAATCAGAAGGGACTCCTAACCAAGGGGGTTCCTACGACAAGTCTTTTAGATTATTAGGGAATCTATAAGAGACTTCCTTAGTCCCTATGTATATTTATCCGCTATTAATGGACTCAAACATGTGAGGCTTCTTATATATAACCTTCTTGCGTCATCGTTATTGTGAATTAAACTTTAGCTTTCTCATGATTTATATATTGAAGGAAACATAATAATGCTAACTGATGTGAGGAGTCCATATATTATTTATAAAGATATCTACAGAAGATATTAATATTAAATATTCCCTAGATAGGACTGTGTGGAAACTGATAAAATTAAGTAAATAAGACCGTAGTAATTATGATGTCCCTAAGGTATATAAAACATACTGCTAAAAAAGTGTTCATATATTGATGATTACTGGATGAACAGGCAGAGGAACTGGCGCTACACCGGGGAAATTGTAGGTTTCTTATTGAATATGTTGCGTTTTCAAAATATAATTAAAAAGAAACAATAGGGAACAACTTAAGGATAAAGGTTCAAATAGTTAAATAGTTTTTACAGCCGGTGTACAGAAGTCACTTCACCTTATATGTTAACTAGTCTGTATAATTCATTTGCCTAATCTTATACTATATTAAGGGTTTGTGATAAATATATTTATTCTATAACTGCTAGATATCCATGAATGCAATTTAAGAGCAGAAGGATGATTATTACATCTATAAAAAAGGGACTGAAGATATGTTATATTATTAGTAATCATAACGACTGATTATAAATTCGAGCAAGATTCAAAAGTGCAGAATGTCCGAGAGAATTAGGTCATACAAAGATAAAAAATCCAGGTTATAGTACCAATGATCAGGAAAGCTATGAATTAAACTATATACTATTAAGGATTAGGGGAACAATACAACAAACCTCAAGGAAAATGATATCCAAAGGGAATATTTCTCGATATTATAATACCAATAGGGAAACTGAAAGAGCAATAACCAGGAAAATTAATACTCCTCGCCAGCGTGTCTGATTAAAAGGAATATACAACTACCAAGTAGCCAGAGTACGCCAAATATAACATACTATTAAATATAATGAAGACCAAGAATATGGAAGAATAAATAAACTGATTAAAGATTATTATGAATACCAAAAAATCCAACGGAGGTAATAGAAATAGAAGTCTTAACCTTAATGACCCACACAAAGGACAACCAAGGTGAGTACTAATCAACAACCAGGGGGAACAGGTGAATAATGACAAATAAGTACTACGGAGCCAAGTCCCTTATTGAAACCTAAGAAGTTACCAATTAGAAGAAGGAGAAAGTGAGGTATTTTCTATAATGCGTATTTATTATTTTCATAACTAGCGCTAGCAGCTAACTTAGGTACAATCGGAAAAAACTGAGGCACGGGAAGCTAGTAAATAAGAGTTTTTCATTATAATATTACAGCTGTCAAATATGTCTCTGTCAGAAGATTAAAAATCTATACACCTCTCAAAAAACTCCAGAACTGTTAGGAAAACAAGGACAAATATAAAACTCATGCAAATATGTAGCACGGAATGGTCAATCAATAAATTATAAGTCACATCTTATTAGCCAAATTTGACCCTTAGATAAAGCAAATATACATCACTCTATTTCCGGTGCGAATTAACTCTCATGAGCAGAGACGAAATAATATCGAGTTAAGAGTACATTGATAATTATACACCATACCGTCCTTTTATTGTTGCCATCAAAAGAAGACAAACAGCGAATAATGTATTAAGAATGGGGAACTTATAAGACAGAAAAATGGGAAGATATCGATGGAGGCCGTACTTAGCTACAGCGCCCAGACAGATCCAAATATTCTTCGAAAAAGAATCCTAACCAAAAAAGGAGAAGTCGAAAACGGAAAATAAGAGCCCGCCTGGATAACCCCAAGAGAAAGCAGCAAGGGAGTAAATAACGAAGCACTCCGAGCAAGAATGAGGCGAAGTGCCAAAGGAATAATGAGCCTAAAGCTTCCAAGAGGCGGAAGAAAATTGACCGGTTTACAACTAAAAGAAAGAAGGACAACAAGCCCCCACGACATACTTCCCTAGGAAGCTCTGGGGATTTCAAGGCAGCCTCTCTCCACGAAAGGTGAAAGGACACACAGGAATGGGTATCTCCGTGCCCCATCAAGGAAGGAGAAAAAAGATTAAATCTCTCGATCAACTACAAAACAAACGCAATGGCCATCCAACCCCCCGCATCCGAGAAATCAGCGGAGGAGATCAAAGAGAAGAAGAATTATACTGCACCCCTAAAGAAGTATTAGGTACTTATAATCAGAACATTAAGGCCCCCAAAAAACCTCAGCAGGCCTTCCCCACCAACCAAGCCTACAAGTGTCAGGCGTAATATAATCAGCTCCACTCGAATCAAACGGCCAAAGCGAAAGGAAAAGACACCAGACGCCAACGCCCAAAGAAAAAGGAGGCCCCAATCAGGTCTCTTGAAGCAGAAACTCTAAGCAATATTCAAGTTGTAGTACATCGCATAAGTAGGATGAGGATTTTAAGTAAGTTCTCATCAGGAGCAGGAAATATTCACACTTATGAGATCCAAATCGTAAGCGAAATCCCTAGCATTATAGGCAAGGAAAACTTCCAAGGACAAACGGCGAATTCTGATAAAGAACAAGTCCAGCCGTCAACCAGAGGTACCAAGGAACAGGTCAGATCATGAGGAGAAGTAGACAACAAGGAGACGGAGTCTTCCAGGTTCAAGCTGGAGGAGTATACCCATAGAAGGGAAGAAATCCAGGCAAAAGCTCACGAGTCAAAGGGACAAGAAGGGGGAGTAAAGAGAGGAACTTAAAATTAAGATCTGCCCTATGCATTTTATTAGACAAGGCTAAGGTTGAACAACCAACTCGTCCCAGCCACTTAAGCACTACACCTATCCAAAGGGGGGGACGATACACAGATCAATGCGGAGGAGTCAAGGAAAAAAGTACTACAGCAGCGTTTATAAAGTGGTTGAACCCAAATCTTTATACTAGTTTAATACAAATGCAGTGATCTAGTATATACCAATTCTAATAAAAGCAAAGGACAATACGAGCCAACATCGTAAAGAGGCCATTGCTATGGGAAGAAGGAAGAATAGGGGGAGAGAAGTAATAGCCAGAAGAATGGGGAAGATATCTGGCTTAATGGAAAGGAGAGTCAGGAAAAAAGCACGCTGAATGCGTATTTTAAACCAAGCTTATGCTATCCACACAGGACGGTAGTATAAGGACCACAATACCAAGACAAGCCATGGAATCGGGAGTGTGATGTGGCCAAGAAGGAGGAGGTTCACAGGAGCGGAGAAAGATAAAGGTATAACATCAAGCAACCAACCCTCTAATAGACAGTGAAGAATGTACATTAGATGATGATAGCGGACGTGAGACATGGAAGCATCCCTCCACTGAGCAAAAGATTTAACTTATATCGCCCAGGTGCCGGGCGGGACCAAAACAACTCAATCTGCCAAAAGGAGTAGCAAAACCGTAAGCCCGGCTGGTCAGCGAAAAACTGAAAAGTACCAAATCCCACAGAAAGAGAGCACCTAAGAAGGGAAAAAGGAAGAAGAGGATACCCGAGCACATTTAAAGTCAAGTACACACCAGGGTTATAACCTGTGCGAGGAACCCTCCGAATCAAACATCCTGCAAGCAATGGATTAAGAAGAATCCCACAGCAAAACCCCAAGAGGAGAACGGCAAACCGAGCGAATACCGCACCAAGGCCAACGGCAGGCGTATGAATAGAGATGAGGGGGGGGGAATATGCTAAGGCTCAGGAATCTCAATAATTAAACCAACAAAATCTCCTGATACAAAGAAGCTCCCCAAACGGATAAGAACCAAACGCAATTAAGACGCAGTAACAGCCCAAGAAGTGGGGGGTTGACCTGTTTATACCTCACAACACCCCCCTGAGGAATAATTAAGAGCAAGAATTACACAATATTACCACTAGGTTACTTAAATATATATATATCAGAAGTCTAGTATGATGTGGTAGCGGGGACTCAGAAGAAGTAGTTTCCCACGTATACATCAGAGTCTAGGACTTTAAGTCTATATTATCATAAAACATATCGAAGCAGAATCTGTATAATATTACAGGCCCAGCTAAGGTTAAACTCAAATCCAAAGCAAAAAGGAGGTTACAATAATAATCCTAAATCAGAACCCTCCGCTCTGGCGTTTCGTGGAATAAATCAGCCAAAGACTAAGAAAGGCGGGAAGGTATGAACATCTCGTAATCAGGAGACCTTTAAGAAATAAAAAGGAATTAGTGCCCAAGAAAATGGGAGAAGATATTAATTCAAAGATAAATAAGAAGGCAATGTATCGACACCAACAACAGAAGATACAAGAAACCGGACGGGCCCAGTAGAAAAGCCCAATCCTGGACGGGAGAGGCACTAGCAAGTAACCAAAAATAGACTAAGGACCCCTAGATGTAAAACTTTTCTAGATAGGGAGTTGATTCAGAGTTTAATAAGAGAATCAACACGAGGCCAGATTAAGAATCAAAAGGACCAAGATTAATTTTATACTCAGGGTAGAGATATAGTGAGAAGCGACAAATCAACTGTGCACTTGGTTCCCAATAGAAAAAAGAGAGTCTAAAGTGGCTAACCCTACTACTCAACACCGAAAGAAAAACACAGGAGCCTAATCACAAAATAGGCAATATATAATAAGAGGTAAGGCAAAAAGAACTTATAATAACCCTTCATCAAAACAGACTAAAGCAAGGAACTCCTGACCAAGAAATCAAGTAGTGCTTCCAGCCAGATGTAAGTCCTAAGTCAACTCACCTCCCTGAGCACCAAAATAACTCCAAAAGCTCAAGTTCAGACTGATTTTTCTTGTATGCGTGAAGATAACCACAGGCAAGGAAAAAACAATATGGGAAGTCTAAACCGAGTGAGGAAAGGATCTAGGCTAAGAAAAATCCAAAATCAGGATTCAATCAACACCAAATGAGTAACCATGGAATACTGTACCGTGGAGCTCTATATAATTCTCCACCAGTCGAAAGATAAAATAGGCAGGAAGGACGTAGATGAGTCAGACCAAGCAGGAGGAAAGGATAATCTTGTAGGAAGAGCAGGAGAGGGAAAGTACAAAACTTCTAAGGAAAAGAGTTGACCTCAGACAAACTCAAGGGGATCAGACACAACCCAAAGAGCAATTAAAGGCCAAACCGTCCATGAACCCCAAACTTAACGACCAAGAAGAACAGCCTCCGGCTCAAGCGAGAGGGACTGAGAGAAATTATCTAAACCTGAGAGTAAAATTCGCAACCACCATACAAAAAAGCTAAATGTAGGAGGGAAAACATCTGAGTATCCCAAAAAAAACAACTTCGCACAGGATGACTGACACAATCAAGTCTCCAGTCCTATAGAAAAAACACCCCCGAGTAGAGACCCTACCAGGCACAAATTTCCTCAGGTAGAAGGACCAGTGTGGATATTGAGACATTCTCTGAAATCCCACCACCAGGAGAAATAGACGATCAGAACAAGAGAATTCATCCATGAACAATCAACAAAGGAATTCCCAAAACAAATTCAGGTCGAGAATCCAAACCACACAATAACAAGAACAGGGAACCCCCCTGTATCTTCTGAGTCCCTAGCGCCCGAGCGTAGAAACAAAGAGAAGGAGGAAAAAGTGATGCAATCTCCCTATACTCAGCCAATTTGCCGAGACCATCCTACTTATAATCCGATTAAAACAGAATTACCAACCCTGACAAGAGTTCAGAAAAAGAAGGGAAAGGACGAAAACTATTGAAACAGCTACCACACCTCAGACAAACTTTCTCCAAGGCCCAATCCAGGGGGGAGCCTCAGGTAAATTAAAGCAGAAGATTAAGATAATTCATCCAAAAGATGGAATTATTAGATCAAATGTCAACAACATCTCTTGAAATAAAGATACATCCAAAGGAGCCCCAGGAATCAATCCGCTCTGATCCAACCAAAAAAGCCTCAGGATTTCAGCTCGTCCCCAGCGAAAGGATTCACCCAATACTAACTAAGAATTTAAGATATAGGAGAAATCGACGAGGATGAAATAAGATTCGCACTTAGAAAGAAAAATCACGTTCTCTCGGAAGAAGTCATAAGCGCAGTCTATTCACACCACAAATATGAATAAAAGGACGGGATCCAGTCCCCCACACGCGGACCTCAAAGCGTCTCATAGATTATGTCTTTAAGTTAACAAGATTAGACAGGAAGTCTTAAAACAATTTTCTCCCAGTGAATCTCAAAAACACAGCCCAGAGACTCGCTCCACGGACAAATTGAGGCGAAGTTCCTAGGACACACAGGAAGAAATTAAGAACCGAGTAACACCTCAGGATAAATGAAGACAGTCTAATTTCAGACAGGAGGCAATTACCTAACATCCACCAAGAGCTCACAACAGGCGCGGATAATCCTATCTGAATTAGAGGATAGTTGAGCAAGCCACAGGGGCTGAAGACAGATAATTTATGGAGCAGAAATTAGAACCCCCCGCGTAGAATACGGATTCAGCCAGGTAACCGAAATAAAAACTCCCCTATCACCAATTTCGCGAGAAGGGAAAAATTCTTGACTCAGGAACTCCAGGAACTCTAGAATTCTGAAAAGTAATAAAACAGGCAGCCGAATTGAAAATCCGGTCTCCCACAATTTCCTAAGTATCGTAAACCAAGACAGGAAGCTTCGCAGGCATTATGCACAGGGCTAACAGGAGGAGACCGACAATGATGTATACAATTATCTGTCTAGGACCCCATCAAAGAGTCTCCAGACTAGAAGTTGTAATTCAATAAAGGAAGTGTGGAATGTAATGGACGCATCGACAATTTTGACTAACTCACGAGCGAGAGCGCGACGCCTAAAGGAGGCAGGTGAAGGATATAGGGGAGCATATAAGCTCAAGACCAAACCAGACGAGCAAGGACAAATAAAGATTCCGGAGGAAGAAACTTGGCCTATGTTTACCTAACGAGTCAACCAATATTAGAGTTTAGAGATGAGTGTCGCGCCTTTAAGAATAAAGACGTAGGTCACTTTGGAGGAGTCCTAGGAGATATTAAGAAACTACTTACCGAAACTAAAAGAATCCCCAGAAGAAATCTCGACAAAACTAATGCAACCTCACGCCCTATCTCGAGACCAGGAGGAATCCCACAAGAAGGAGCCATTGCATCCTATGATTCAGAAACTAGGGAGTAAAGTTCTAGCGGCCATGGAAGAGGGGTGGCATATAAGGTTTTAGAAGTTACGTTGAATCCAAGCCCAAAGCATAGCAGAGAAATCTGAATGATAGTTAATAGCAAGGCAGAAGCTGCAGCTAAGTGAGGCCCCAAGGATAAGAAGCCAAACGGCGGAGTAGGAGCATAGCAGGCACCCGAGTCCAGTTCTAAATTAGATCCCCAGAGACACCAGAAACCGTAGGAAAAACTCATTGACCTAGGGACCTCCAGAATAACAAGATAAAGTTAAGATTCCGGAGTACCTTACCCTTAATCGGAAAAAGGGGCTCATCCGAAAACTATGGACGGTTCGTCAAGATTCCACGAGTTCAGGAGCTCCAATCTTTTAACCCAAAGGACTCACTTCCCCGACAAAGAAGCGTCAGAGTTAGGGACAGGAGGCCTAGTAAGAGAAACCCACAAGACTCTCACCGTAACATTTCGTGACAAGATGACAAAAAAAAAAATCCAGAATTAGCGAAGGGGGAGGTCTTCGTAGAGGATAGAACTTCCAGGAACCTAGTTTCTAAGAACGTTCTGTTGTTTCAACAATATCGACAGATGATGGAAGCAGTGAGGGAATAGACAAGTTAATGAGTGGCCTACAGCCGAACGATCACGTAACACAGGATACGGATCGAGAGGAACAAACAGCTAGGACAAAATTCACGAATCAGAATTCCGGTGCTGAGCAAGCCAAGGAGGCACTAGAAACCCCAAAAGAGACCAAAGGAGGCTTAACTAAAGAAGGGCAAATCCTAGCAGCAGAGGAGTGCCAAGGAGACTTAAAAGCAAGGAAGATGACTAAAAAAATTTAGCTTATTCTCAGATATTGAGTAAGTCAATGAATAGAGGAGCTGATCCCAGAATCTTCTAGGGCAGGCTTCTTAAGGTACCCGTGGGAATAATCTCCGGAAGCAGACAAGATCTCGTCGATTTAGAAACTGACCGAGATATTTCTGAAGTCTATGGAATAACCAAAGGAGTAGCAAAGGAAATAGAAACGCCAGTTGAATATTAGGAAGGGGGTCCAAACTGTTTCACAGTCAATTGTATCTGTTGCCCAAAGCAACTTACAAGACGCCCAGGAGGTGATAAACGGGGATCTCTAGGGAGCAATAACACCTCAGAAAAAGCCTCAGTAGCTAAGGACCTCAACAGGAGAGGAAGGCGCACAAGTCTTATCAAAACCGAAAACCCAAAGCAAAGCGTACGCCCCCTGTGAGATAAGGTAGAAACTGGATTAAGCCAAGTCCAGCCGGGTCGTGCGAAGATGTCACGCTCCAAGTTCCTAAAGCCTCTGGCAGGCCCGAATTAACTGTTGAAGTTTATAACCAAAGGACGTTGTAGATGACTGAAATCCAGGTATCCGAGGATAAGTCTCCAAGAGCGTCATAAGCAGAGGAGGGACAAGGGAGGAAGAAGGAAATTCTGGGACTTAAGTAGAAGTTAATTAGGGCTAACATCAGGAGAGGAGATGAACAAGAAGCCAAAGATGAGTGGATAGAGTCGGGGACCTAGGCGGCAATATCAGGGTCTAGAAGGAGAGAGAGTCTAGAGTTCAGCAGAGTTACAATGGGGCGGATAATCCAAAGGTTGAGATGAGGAGTTGAAATTAAAAAATGGACGTAAGACTCGGGGAAGAACGAGCACAGAGATGAAGCCAGAGGAACACCCGAAGGAAAAATAGGCCGATCGGCGAGATTTTTCCTCGGGATAAGAAGGAGGGAATGAATTAAGAAGCCAAAGGTCGTCTAAGCATATAGGAGGGATAGAGTGATCAATGTCTCTCTGGAGCTCAGAGAGTAAGGGTAGAAACAACACGGCGGAATGGTTCGGATTATCTCCTATCCACCTCAAGCGGGATAAACCAGACCAGAGAAGACAATCCCGTCGTGAACCCAAGGGGCGATCATGTCAGAAGCCGTAGAGGGTCTCTCAGAGACGGAAGGTTGATGAGAAATCTGAGACAGTATAAGGAAAACCCCGCGGCAACTTGAAGATAAAAGGATGACCTTTATGAAAACCAAACGGCAGAAGGAATCTAGCGGACGAAAGAAACATAACCATCACTGAGTTCAGTGACCACGGAGTATACAACCCAAAGCCAGAGTAGGGTATCCCCCCCAGCCCAGAAGTTGAAGAAGCATGAAAAATTCTATTGAGGTTCGTCTCTATGCTATATACAAAGTAGCTCCGCCTGAATGTTAGGGATTAATTTACACGTGACTTAAGTATGGAAAAGGCTAGATGGGAGCTACATAGTCAGCCTTTGCAAGGGAGCGTCGCCAAGATTAATTTTTGGAGTCCAAGTTTCTGTAATTTTGAACCCAACTCCCAACCCTTTTGCTATAAATATATAGACGAATTAGACAAGGAGTCCAGATGGATAGGTCTGAAGAACTGGAGCAGCACCCCTCTAGGGGAGGCAGGAAAAACCACGTGGAAGAATCTGCAGGGTCAGTGGGAAAAAACTGAAGTCGTAACAGGTGGTGCAAAGAGAGGAAACGACTGGAGGAGTTTTATAGCGGAGGTATTCACCAAGAGCATAGAAACCGCGACTAAATATAGAGAGAGTCAGGACTCAGGGCCAACTATTTGGACCGAGGGCGATTGGTATAGGACGTTGGAAGGTCCCCAAGGCACAAGGGGTTATATAGGCACCACGTCGAACGGTCAGGAATTTCTAGGAGTTTTCGCATGTATTCTGTTAACAATCCTGAAATTGAAGAGGAACCCGGAGTTACCGGACCAGAATTATCCGGACTATTGTAGAGGAGTAATCAACAGGATGAAGATTCCAGTAAACAAGTGGAACAGCTGGATCCGGACGAAGCAGGGGAGTATAAGATATGAAAGGCAACAAAAGTGTACCTCATACAGGATGGATAACGAGTGCCCAGAGTACAAGTTCGCTCTTCTTCTTACAGTAATACAGGGTTTAATGAGGGTATGTCCGAGCTGTGGTCCGTATAGGCTTGATTATTGGTTGGACAAGGAGGGTTGGGTGACCGAAGGAGGGAAGACGCAGTATTGTCAATTAGAAAGCGGGCTGTTAACCTGTCCACTTAATAGTAGTCCAGGTGAGAGGCCAACACGCGATTTAATGGTAGCAGTGTATAAAGAACCAAACCCGATGAGCAATCCTATATCCATCGGCTCGGCAAAGGGATCAAGAGAAGAGAGCTCTACCGAGGCACTTTCCCCAGAATTACAGCAAGTCGGGGCCAAAGGCCAGCTGCTGGTTGGTAGGAATTTAGAGACCGGAGGGGGTGGGGGCCAAAAGCCGGGGGAGTCTTCTGAAACCCCCGAAGCCACTAGCAAGAATGACATGGTGTTAAACGTCTCTGGACCTCCAGCGGCCGACCACCAGCAACAGCAACAGGACGGTTCTCATGATAAGGCGGAAGATGGGGTGACCTCAACGCCCTCAATTGACATCGATGACCCATCTTCCGGGCAGTCGGCTGATTCCACAAAGGAGTCCTCCCAGGAAACCGAGGAAACATCCAACCAGGTTCCAGAGACTGACACTAGACTTCACCTGTCAGACAAGGAGGAACCTGAGGCAGGTTCAACAGCCGTCGGTAGCATAGCCGGCGGGGTCCTAGCCGTTATGGTATTGGGGGCATTAGCTTCGTATGGTTTTTGGAGAGTATATGGGCGTCCGAGAAAGAGGGGAAGGTTAAGGCGGGTCCCAACCCCCAGGGGGGTTTTTTATGGGTCTGTCTGAGTTGGATTCTGTTGATTGTCTGAGTTGATTTTATCGTCCATGATAGGACATGTGGCAAGACTTGTGAACGAACCGAGTACGGGGGAGGAGGTTTTCATGGGGAGAGGGGGTATTAGCACTATGAAAAGTTGGGTAGCAGATTGGAGGAGCCTACTTTGAGATCTGACGGGGGAGGAGGACGGTTAGGGGTTTGGGGTGACAGCTGCTTCAGGGTTCACTGTTCTGCGGTTAGGTCTTAGGGTTCAGTGGCTACGTTTATAGTCCACGGTTTAGGTTCAGGGCTGAAGCCTTAGCGTTTAGGATTTAGGTTCAGGGGATCAGGGTTTAGGCGGGATAGTTCATGGTTCAACGTCTAGGATCTAGGGCTTAAGATTCAGGGCTTTGCAGTTAAGCTTTATGGTTTAGTGTTTAGGTTTTAGTTCTTAGGCCTTAGGCTCAGGGTTTAGCGTTAAGGTTTTTCTGTTCCTATTTCAAGTTTAGGGTTCAGAGTTTAGCTTTCACGATTTAGGGGTCAGGGGGAGTATTAAGGTTTAGGATTCATCGATTACGTTTACGGTTTAGGGTTTAAGGGTTAGGGCTTACGGTTCTGTTCTGACTGTTTAGGGTTTAAGGTTCAGTATATAGGCTTCAGGCTCTAGGTTTACTTTCTAGGGGTTAGGGGTGATCCTTTACAGATCCGGTTTTAGGTTTTATGGTGTACTCTTTTTTCGGAGTTTTAGTGTTTAGGGTCTAAGATTTAGGGTTCACTGTTCAGGGGTTAGGTTTTATCCTCTAGGTCCTACGGCTCACGTTTTATGTACTCCACTTCACGATTTAGGTTTCAAGGTTTACTTTTAGTGTCTAGGTTTTAGTTTTCAGTGCACAGCTTTTAGGGTTCATTGTCCAAGATTTAGGGGTCAATCCCTAGACTTCAGGTGTGTAGGGTCTAGTGCTTAGGGTCCAGTTTTTAGGTGTTATGGCTTATTTTTAGTCTTGAGGTTTAGGTTTAGGGTTTATGGTTCAGGTTTCAGCTTTTAGGGGTTCTGGATTCAGTGTTTGGCTTTGATCTTTACGTCCTATGATGCAGACCTCAGGTTTCTGTCGTTACTTGTCACGGTTTCGCGTGTAGTCTCTAGTTTTCCGATTTCGGTTTTAGTCCTTCGGGGGGGTATTCTAGGGTTGCTTATTCAGGGATTAGATGTCTGGGTTTCTGCTCTCAGGTCCATGGTCCAGGTCTTAGCTTTGAGGGTTGAGATGTCGGGTCCATCCATTAGGGTTCATTCTTAGACCCTATGTGTGCGGGCTTAGAATTTACGTCTAGGCGGTAGGGCTTCTGACTTCTTCTTTATGCTTCTGAGGTATTGGTTACAGGGCATCTTTGAGGTTATATGTTTTATTCCTCAGTTTTCATCCCTTATCTGGAGTTTCTAGTTTTCAGTGTTTATGGTTTATGCCTTATGTGTTATTGATCATGTATTAGCGGTTAATTCCTACTTTCTATTTCTCAGGGATCATATTTAGGGTTTACTGTTGTGGGTTTACTTATCAGTGTGTATTCTTGATATTTCAGACTCTTCGTTGTGGATTTATTCTTCATGGCTGGCTTCTGTTATCTACGTGTCAGAGTTTTACGAATTTTAGTACCGGGATTTCCGTCCATACCTTATGTTTCAGGCCTAGTTGTGAGGTTTTACCTTCTACGCTCCTGCTCCTATTGCCTTATCCTTGACCCTGTCCTGTTCCGGAATTATTTCTTACTTATCATTCAGAATTTTGTGTAATCGGGGAAGTGCATTCTCTTATATATCTACTCGATGGAATTTCCAAGTAAAAAATAAGCAGCAATATCCTCAGTTATAGTGGTTATAAGTCTAAATATGCATGGATACCTCCTCGATTGTCGAATATTCTTCTCATCCTCTAATGATATTAGTTCTAGTGATTTTTAATAACCCAAATAACAGTCGTAATATCTTAAAGAAGAAAGAGAGAATAATAGGAGCAGAGAAGTTGACTAGGATTCCTCTATGGTAATTTTTGAAATAATCAGGGAAGATTGTTGGCGTTAGCTCACTACTATTATATAGATGTCCGCCCCTCGCAGAGTGCCGCAGCATGTACAGAATATTACTACACATCTCTTGTCTCACTCCTTGAAGTTTCTAAGGAATGCGAGAGTTTGTTTTATTCAATTGGAGTACTTCCTTATCTCCTTGTAGCTAGTAAAACACTGTCAGGCTGAATCAAACATTATGTACAAATCTAATAATATTTTTCTACGATTGCGCGGCCCCTGGGCTTCTTCACATTTCGTTTTGTCATGTGCCCCTTCCTAGAAAATTAATTCCACTTGCTACTATTACTCTTCGCACTTGATAATGTATATATACTGGGAAGGGGAATTTCCAACAGGACTATTCTATAAATACATGAATTGTAGATAGTCTCCTTGTCCAGTTTTTGTAAAAACATATCTCTTGCGTAGATAAATGAACCCTGCTCTGTCTTCTCTGTTAGTTGTCTGCCCCAGGGATTCTTATAGATATTATATATAGCTATATATATACGGAATCCCTGTTCTTCTTCTTTATACTTCATTCAGAGTAATTTACCTGTGAGAAGGTGATTTTCCAGATGTTTTCTATCACATGTTTCCGGCGGGAAGCCGCGTATACTTACAATTTGGATATCTATTTGATCCCTTCTTTTTCATATGTGGCATCCATTGAATTAACCGGTTATAGTTTCCACATAATATGAAGGTGGGCTTGGTCATATCATGAAACTCCTAGGCACATCATAATATTATGTGTGTCGGACAGAACTAATCCGGTGGCGCAAGGGAAGGGATTTGATCAAATAAGAGTACACCATGATCCTATAGGTATCATCTCTGCGGTGTAGAAAAGAAAAGAAGAAAACATATACGGCCTAGATGGGCGCCATTAACAGATATATAAGGATCCACTTCTGTACGTGATCTATCACTGAGGAGGATACCTAAGGAAGAAATGTCCAGTCTTCAATATTTTCCTGATACATGGAAATGGCAACGAATGATCTGTCTGAAGAAACTATATCGTGAGAAGTACAGTGGAATACACGATGTTGGTAGTGGCACATTTGCAGTGTGGTATTTGACACTTCCTTGCCGATGGGTTCCGAACAAGTATCCACAAACGGTGTGTTCCTTCCCTCCTAATATCTTTTGCGATCGCCTTATTCAAAAATAAGATGGCCCTGTTATCTCAGACGACTTCTTTTCCTTCCTTTTTCAACTTAAGCTGAGGACCGAGCTTATAAAGTAGTGAGCTTGGGAGTTCGGCACCTTTATCACATAATATGTGTCGCTTAATTGATCATATAAATGCTTCGCTTCCATCGTTCCTGTCTTCACACATATAGATGACGCTGTCATTTGCCCCCGAAGTCAACTTAACTAATAGGAAAGGTGGCAGCGACATGCTCTTTATCGTATATGAAATCAACTTTGAGTATATAGCTCAGCTACTTCTCTAAGGAAGAAACACAGGCCAAATAACAAAAAAAACAAAAGATATCACGGCAGCATGCCAAGTCTCCTGCACACGATATTGTGTTGTGTGGTGTGGCGCCTCTAACAATGACTGGAGGGAGAGGCATACGAATGAAATCAGAAATATCTGCAAGAAATTATAATGATGTAACAGATATTTATGGAGGCATATGAGAATCATTCCCGATTACATATCGTTGTATTAATGCATCCAATGTGAGAATGGTTATAATACGTGTCTGCCCCGTCGTCATTTCCCTCCTTTGCTTTAACAGAGAGTAGAAAAAATACAAAAGAAGACGAAGAAAAGATCACAGTGGTAAATGGGGACAAATGAATTAAAACATCGTTCTTGATGTCAGTAAAACAGAGATTAAAAAGGAAGTCACATGTCCCTCCTAATATCAACCTCGGGAGAAAAGATAAGATATTTGGAGATTGAACAGCACGGAGCCAGAACGGAAGTGAAAACAAAAACAGCCATTGTGAGACACATGAGAGAGGGCATATAATAATTCCACTGATAACCCGTCATAGAAATCCCTCCTGAATTCTCCTGATTTGTACCTTTAAAGACAGCAGAATTATCCTTCTTAGAAGCTAATAAAATGCGACCAATGAGTTTCCTCTCATTACACATGAAACATACTCTTGATCAGTTTCAGGGAGGTAGATGCCAGAGAAAAGAAAGATACACTTGTCGTCATGACAAGAATAAATTATATATCCATTTTAGCTTCCTATACCAGACTCTGATTTCAGGAGATGTATTCGGGGTAAGTGATGAGGCATCCATATAGCTAACTAAGTCTGCAGCATTTCGAGGATACCCAGAACCCTCATAGAATGGGGCCTCTTTACTTATAATTCTACATACCACAGGAACGGATCTATAACGACCATATTAATGTAAAACTGAAAGAAGGGACTTACTCAAGGCAAAATACCATCTTACTATACGGGACACAGTTGAAATGTGATGTAGATAGGAAGATAAAAAAAAAAAGGGGAATAATTGTTCATTTTACAAAGGGGTTTTCGGAATTACGATCCCCCTTCAGCGACAGAGAAGCCCCCTATCATTAGAACATAGCATCCAATAATAATCAGGTATTGTGGCCGAAGAAGCTGCAGAGATCTCGTTTCACCTCTATTTCTCCACGCCTCATATACAATCTTTAAAACAACAATTACTGATACCGTCTAATGTCTGTCCATATTCGGATACTTTCAGAATCACATAAAGTTATCCTATGACGCCTAAGACAAGGAGTCCATAAGATACACAAAGGACAGTTGTCAATGGGATGCCTACTAATAACGGTAATACTTCCAGTGTGAATGCAACCAACATCGGTAAAAGGAGCATCAGACGATATACTTCAATCCCCAGCAGCGAGTAGTCACTCCTCCTAATATGCGGATGCTGTTTACACCTCCCTACGGAACTGTATGCCTTATATGATAAGGACGAGGCGGAACGATGTAGAATTCTTCGACATGTATGTATTATTTCTCCCGTCGTGAGCTTACGTATTGGATCGCACATTGAATTGATGACGGCATGGTATTGCTTGAGAAGTGCATGCATATTCTACAAGGGTAGATGACAAGGAAGTATTGATGTGTCCCCATTTCCCATGTTGACGAATGCGAAGATTGTCGTAGTACTGTTATATCAATGTATTAATGGTTGATCTATACTGATATCGGCAAAGTATCATTCTTTTAAGAGTATAGTTCTATAAGAACTACAGATGATCAGCAGAACTGTTCTGTGAGTGTACTCATATCTCCCTAGTGTGATGTCTTGGAGTGCACAATTGTGGTGGGATTCTGGATACCCCTCATGCACAATTATTAAAGGAGGTGGAATATCATGGCCTACTGTTTAGGCTTCTATTATAGGAAGAGCACTATAGTTCAAAATTCTTACAACACCCTCGAGTGTTATTATATTAAAAGCAGTGTAATATGTGAACCTGTATGATTGGGAGAGTATCGTTGCAGGAAGTGTACACATGTGTGTGGAATACTATTGTGTGCAAATTACTTATTCGGTTCCAGCCGTGATATTACCAGAGTACTATTATGTGGATAGTGCAGATGTGCGCAAAGTATTGATATGTTAGGAATAACATTGTGAACTCAGTACTACTGTACCGAGACTACTATTCCTTAAAGTCTATGAACATGCATGCCGTATCGTTATACTTATCCGTCATCCATGCCTACGATGATATTGTATAAATGACTCCATTGTAAGAAGTAGACGAATATACTGGGTGTATTATTATAGGAAAGGTATGCTGATATAAACAGTACACATGTGTCTAAAGTGTCAATGCTGGTAAAAAATACGGCTGTATCAGGAATATTATTGTATAGGTTTACCGGTTATGCTGTTATTGTAGGGAAGGGAAAATATTTTACAACTAACACACAGCTTGTTGCACATTCATTTGAAAGAAATTATTGTGGTTGCACTCATATGATATGTAGAGAGAAGGGAAAATGGGAAGTGGAATTCTGTGGAGTGGAATGATATTCAAAATACAGTATTGTATGAGGGATATGGATATTCTCAAGAACCATCCTTTGAAAGATAAGCATTTTCCTACAATATGCCCATCGAAAATGCAAAAGTGTGTGAATTGCGGGCCATGTGTTCCAAATTTCGGTTCCTATTCTTTGGGCGACAACAGTCATTGATGAGTATAGATATCTATGAAATAGTATTATGTGAAAAATTAAGGGCTACATTCTGAAGAAAAGAGCAAACCATTAATTACGCGCAGGTGCAAGCCCTGTAGCTGTGTCGAATGTATTATTGCCGGAGTAATACAATAGAGGAAGAAATACTTGCATATGGACAATGCAAGGATTCTAGCGGAAATGTTGTTTGTAATGTACAGTGTCGCAGGAATGCTTTTATGTGAACGCCTCATAACATAGCGTTTTAGATACGACTAATTGGAGAACGTGACTAATTGAAGAATAATGATTTATGTGTAGTATTATTTAAAAAATATCGCTCCCCTTAGGAGTACGGGGCTGTGGAATGTACGCTTAGCATACAACCCTATTATATGAACCATGCGTCTATACCTCCAGTATTATTTTTTGTACTGTATACATGTCTCCTGAATATTATTCTGCACGAGGTTCATATTTTACAGTTTTTTTTATTTGTAGACTATTATTGGCTGAAGATAACACATCTCGATGGGGAACCATGATATCAGGAACATAATCGTGCGGGTTCTATGACAATGACTGGAATACGTTTATAAGGAGAAGTTAGGCAAACGGGTGCTATTATTTGAAGAATAGAATAAGGCGGAGGATATACACTTCCTTGATAGACTAATATATAAGGAATACATTTTTCTCGACCATTATTAAGTATGTGAGAACGAGACATTTCTCTAGAGTATCACTGCATAAACAGTAGGAGAATCCCCAGAGTCCCTATTATGGAGTCGTCAAGATCTAAAGCAGGAAGCACCATAATTTAAAAAGAGATATTTAGTAAGAGACAATAGAGTGGATTCAGCCGTATTCTAGGAGGGGTTCCAATCACTAAGCGTTACACATATATAGAAAATACGAGATGCCTGCGGTATATTTGTATTAACTCTAAGAATCGTCCTTACAACAAGTGTTTAGAGGATAAGCTTCTGTCAACGGTAATATTCTATGTAGAACAGTGCTGTGTGAGGAGGAAAATTGTTTAAAATAATAAAAAGGTTTGGAGAGTCGAATTCCATGAGGAGGAAGGAAGTTCTAAAGATGCTGCCATTTCAGCAATATAGTGGCTTGTAAAATAATTCCATTCCATAAATACGCATATACCAATCCTAAAGCAATTCATGGTGTATAAGAAACTGAGGGATACTATCACTAAAAAGGGTTTCAACATACCAAGGGTGTTTATATATAGGAAGAACTTTTTATAGGCGAAGTAAAAATGTAAGTGCAGTAATAAATCGTGAACTGTGATTATTCTTTTTCAATATTATTGTAATATAGATTCAATAATTATCCGGGTACTATTAAGAAAAAATGATTACGGATGATTTGCACAGCTGCCTTAATCTGTATTATCTTCCTCTTAACAGGACTCGAAATCGATGCGGTACTATTAAAATATAACAATTATGTAAGACGAAAGATTGAACTTCTTATACCATAGGGAGGAATAGGAAATTATAAAAGGAATAGTACTATATAGAACCAGCTGTTTCTCGGGGACAGTTAGGAAGAATAATA